CTGCCAGCCACCAGTACGGCCCGGTCCGGAACGGTTGTCACGCCAGGGTTGGGGCTTGCGGCGGTCTCAGACTTGGTGGGGGAACGACGAAGACGGCGACGCTCTTGATGGCGGCACCTAGCGCCCCGCACCAAGAGCCCAAGACAGTCCTCCAGCTGGCAGGCCCTGCACTGCGAGCGCGTCCTGGAATACCAAAGGGCGCACAGGGCAGGAGAGGCAACGCGTGCGTGGACCCGTTAGGGCCCAGCGCCCCGCTCGCCCTGCTGCAGCACTGCAGGACCACGTCGAGGGCCGACCTGTGAAAACAGCACTGCATAGCAACAACGCCCCGCACGCCCAGCACGCCCTGCAGCACCACGCGGCCATGAGCCATGCGGTCGCCATCTGTCGTGTTTTGCTAGAGCCGAGAGTACACCGAGGCAGCACCGAGGCGGCCCGGCCCACCGCCATGCACCACAGCCATTATCTTGTCAAAACAAGAAACCTTTTTGGCCGTTTTTAAGAGCGCCTCGTGCCTCCCAATTTTTCATACATTTTACGACCAGGGCACGAGAAGAACAGTTAAAGCACGGCCTGGGCCAGACGACCGAGTGGGAGGACGCGCACACGCGCACACACACACACACACACACACAGACAGACAGACAGACACACACACACACACACACACACCAAGAGCCGACGTGACGTCCGGTGACAATGAAGGAGGTGGCGGGGACGAATGAATGGCAATGGGAGAGACGCGATGAAGGAATGACAAAGAGGGGAAAAGAAAGGAAGCGACTGTGTGTAAGTACATACGTATATGCACATGTGTGCACGTGTGAGTGCATGTGTGTGTGTGTGTGGGCGTGCGTGCGTGCGTGTGTGTGTGTCGCCGCGGCGGCGAGTGACAGGTGTCAGGACGAGTTGCTTACTCTCGCCAACAGCTGGTCCGCCAGGACCGCCAGGATATGAATGGCGCCGCGAAGTGCTTTCCCTGCGCGTCGCGGCCACGCGGGCAGTGCAGCTGTCTGATCCAAAAAAAGTTCGTTACCGTCTCCAAAATTGTTTTAAATTGAGCACGATAATGGACTTTTTTTTCTGTTGTGGCGGCGTGGTGTTTTGTTTTTCTGGGCAGTCGTCTGCACAAGTGTCGCTGGACCGCGAGTGAGTCAGGGTCCGGCAATCTTTGCCGTTGCTGGGCGCGCGCGATGCACGCCGAGATGACAGTGGGAAGAGGCAGCACACCGCGCGCCCCGCCGCGCCCCGCCGCGCCCCGCCATCGCGGCAGTCGTTCTCCGAATCGGCTTTCCCGCCAATGAGCGGACGGCTGCCGCCTTGGCTGCCGCCTTGGCTGCCGCACTGCCGCACTGTCTGTGTCACTGCCTGTGACGCGACCGCGCGACCGCGGCCCGGAACGACGAACAATACTACGCGGCGCTGGAAAAAATTAACGACCTGCAAGCGGACTTCCGTGTGAGATGATAACGGTCTCTTTTTTTTTCAGGGTGATCAATGTGTGGTGTGGGGACTGGGCGTCGTCGTCGACGTCACCGGCTGGGACGCGGGGGAGCCTCGGCTCGCTGGCTGGTGTCTTGCCATGAATGGACCATTTGGAGAAGTGTACCCACCCCGGCAGGCCGCACGTCGGGTGAACATTCATCTCGCGATGGATGTTCCCTCATCCGATCGGATTTTAGTGGGGTGCGACCATCGCGCGATAGTTGTACCCCCGGTACATTCATCGTGGGGGTACATTCATAGTCCCACACGGCCTGACGGTCGACGCCGAGGACACCGGCCTGCGAAAGTGGTTCGGGGTTCGGTTTGTCTCCGTCCGCGCGGGGCACTCGCGGAACAGCATGGCAGCGCCATCTGGCGGCGAATTGGCGCGGTGCGGTGGCGGCGGCGTGCGTTGGGTGGCCTAGCCGCGCGGCGCAGCGGCGCGGCGCAGCCTGGACCCGTTAGCCCGTTACCTGGGCCTCTGGGCCACCTCAGGCCGCGGCCCCGCGGCCCCGCTGTCCCGTTACACGGCGCGGCGCGCGGCGGCCCGGCGTGCCGGATGGGCTGCCTACCCGCACGGCGCACCGCGCGGCCTTCCCCCTCCAGTGGCGCGTCCGTCTGTCTGCTCCAGTGACGGCCACGGCGCAGCGGCCCAGCAGCGCCGCGAGTCATGTCGGGCCGCTAAATTTTGCCTCACCGCGCCGCCGCCGCGTCTTGGCGGGAAGATGCACGCGCGAGTCGCGTAGATTCGAATCTGGGAAGGCGCGCGTGACTGCCTGCGTGAGTATGTGTGTGTGTGTGTGTGTGTGTGTGTGTGTGTGTGTGTGTGTGTGTGTGTGTGTGTGTGTCAGTGACACAGCGCCTTCTCTCTCCCTCCCCTTTAATCCTCGCGCAGATGACTCACGGGGCCACTTACTTGAATGGGACTTACCGCGTCGCGTTGCGCCAGCTTCGCCACCTCCTGTTGCAAGCCGCACAGAGGGTCAGCGTGGCAAATGGTCCCCGCGGCGCGCGGCGCGCACGCCGGACCGGCTTTGGCTGGGCGGCTCACGCAAAACGGGAGCAAGCGCCACTCCACCCAGTGTGTGAGACCGGGCGCCATCGCCGAAACAAGAGGGGGAGGGTGGAAGGCGGCTTCCACTGCGATTCCCCTCCCCGTTCGTCATCTTCGATATTAGCGGCCCATTCCCTCTCCGGCACTGTAGGCGCGTAAAGCACTCGGCCTTTGGCTGCCTGTGGCGCTTGGCGGCGCTTGGCGCGGGGCGCGGCCTGGCACTTTCGCCTTCGCCGCGCTTGGCGCTTGTCGCGTGAGAAAACACCCTTATTACCTGCCGGCCGGCCGGAGCGCCGATCGCAGCATCATAGCGCGGCGCTTGGAAGCGCTCGTAATTTTGGCGCCAAAGTACGTACGCCGCGTAGGGACGGCCGAACGGCCCGTCGAATGCAACATGGCGAGTTTCGCGGCCGTTTTCGCCTCGACGGGCAGCCTGGACTGCCCGGACAGCCGCCTGGCTGGCGGATTCCGAGCGCTCCGTCGCTCCGTCTCTCTCGCTCGCCCCACGCGACGCCCCGCCAGAGCGCGAGGGACCGCCTGTTGGCTCACTCACGCGGCGGTGGCCTTCTTCTTCACTTACTCCTCGACAATCTCGGCTAAATAATACGCGACGGCCGTTTTGCACGCGTTTGCACAAGAGCCGTCGCCAATAATCACCCATGCGTTTTGCAAACAGCGACGGGCTGCCGGCTATTGGCACGCCACTGCAGTGCACAGTGCAGTGGCCCGCTCGCAGTGCAGGCGTCACACGTCGCCATGTTACAGTGCGGCCGGTCCGGGCCTCGAAACGCGGTGTTGAAAGACTGCCTTAAAGACGCGCCTTAGAAACCGGGATAGGCGAGATCTCGCTTTTCGAAAGGCCCTGCCCAAATCATCTAGCAGCTGAATTTGACTCCGGAATAATTCACTGTACCACTCAAGTGCTGTAAACTGTGGCCGCCTGAGCAGATACGGATTAAAAACTAACTCACCATGTATGTATCCTGCATACAGTCGTCTAGAGATAGGTTAGTCGGCAGCATTCTGCCTCGACTTGGCTTCAATGTTGGGACATTTCAACTTGTCAACACACACATTAAAGCACGATCACTCCCCTGCCGGTGACATTGATTCTTTCTTTTCGAGAAGAAAATAATCTTGAATATTTTTGAAACCGTTCCAAAATTAATTAATAAATCATCACGATAACGAAACAGACAACAGTCGCTGCAATGGGAGTGCCAACATAGGAAAACGAAAACCGGTTAGGGGTTTTGTTTTCGTATGTTGGCCCTGGCCCTCTCAGCGCACGGTATGTTTTCGATGTTTGTTTGTCGTGGTCTTTTTGTGGTTGCGAGTGATTTATAACTTGATTTGAAAACGGTTTTACAAGAGGAAAAACATCAATGTTACAGGCAACAGGCAAGGGCGCGTGGACAGGCTTTGTGTGTGTTGACATGTTGAATTGTCCCAAAGTCGAAGGTAAGTCGAGGAGGAAGGCAGCCGACTAACCTATCTTAACACGCCTTGCATGACTGTGCATAGAGTTGCAGTGTTGTGTTTTGAAGCTTGAAACCATACAGCAGGCGAAAGGGAAACAAGGAATTTACCTACAAACCAAATAAGTTTTGGCCAGGAAAAGAGAGGATGCAGGATACATGTATGGTCGGCACAAAAACCATAACAAGAGAAAAACTAGCCCCGCGCTTACGGCAGGGCCCAGCCTGGCCCAGCCAGGATACGGTAGATAAGCCGCCTCCCCAAGCACGCTCCAAACGCGATGCAAATGCCCGCGAGACCATAAAGTTTCTCTCTCTCTCTCTCTCTCTCTCTCTCTCTCTCTCTCTCTCTCTCTCTCTCTCTCTCTCTCTCTCTCTCTCTCTCTCTCTCTCTCTCTCTCTCTCTCTCTCTCTCTCTCTCTCTCTCTCTCTCTCTCTCTCTCTCTCCATCTCCCTGTCTCTCTGCTCTTATCCCGCTCGGGATTACGCACTGCGCTCGTAATGAGGTGAAAAACTGGAATGGAGGAAAAGCGAAAAGCGTGCGCCTCGGAACGTTAAGCAGCCGCTGCCGAGTTTGGCGCCAAATCGGGTCACCGGGGCGGGGCGGGGCGGGGCGGGGCGGGGCGGCGCCGATCCGTAGCGCAGTAGCGCCCGAGCACTGCATTAGCGCGTACAACAATAATGGTTGTCCGCGATGGCTTCATCTGGGAACGAGGGAAGCGGCTGCCGCACTGCCGCCTCGTCGTCGCCGCCCCCTCGCCCCCTCCCCGCCCCGTGCGCCCATCACCGGCGAGAGTCGCGGGTCGCCGAGGAGGTCGCCGAGTCCGAGTTCGCGGACCACCGGCCGGAGCCGCCCGGCACTCGTTCACGCGCCCGAGGGCGCTAGTGCGCTGCTTCCGGTTCTAGAGAGGACTCCGGCAAGAAAGGTGCCGGGTTCGACTCGCCGCGCCCGCAGGTCGCTTTCCAGACCGCTGAGCACTCACCTTCTATCGCGTATCCGTTTGCTGGTCCCCGTGCCGCGGATGGTTCTGTACAGGGTCATCATGGTGAAGGTATTCCGTTAGAGACTGTCTTCGGCATCAACCTGCAACAAAGCAGAGACAGGGTTAGTCAGCGAGCAGGCGTAGCGGGCGCCGCGGGGAACCTTAACGCCAGAGTCACCGCCAGAGGCAGCGAGCTGGGGTGCTTGACGGCGTGCTCCAGGACGGCGTCCTCCGAGACGGCGTCTGGATCGGCGCGTTCCAACGCTTGGCGGGCTTGGCCCCCTTCTGCCCCCGGGGCGGCCTGCCCTAGGCCTGCCCTAGGCCTGCCCTAGGCCTGCCCTAGGCCTGCCCTAGGCCTGCCCTAGACTGCCCTAGGCCTGTCCTAGGCCTGTCCTAGGCCTGCCCTAGGCCTGCCCTAGGCCTGCCCTAGGCCTGCCCTAGGCCTGTCCTAGGCCTGCCCTAGGCCTGCCCTAGGCCTGCCCTAGGCCTGTCCTAGGCCTGCCCTAGGCCTGCCCTAGGCCTGCCCTAGGCCTGCCCTAGGCCTGCCCTAGGCCTGCCCTAGGCCTGCCCTAGGCCTGCCCTAGGCCTGCCTGGGGCGCGCGGCCTCGACCGCCACGCCGCGGCACCGCGGTACGTGCGGCGGGCTCTTGCGACACACCCACGAGTGCTGCGTCCAGTAGCGCCTCGCGTGGGGCTCGGCGTGGAAGGGGGCACCTCACGATGCTGGTCTTCATCTTCATTTCGGGCCTGCACTGTCACACTCTGTTTGCCCGGTGAGGTCACGCGGCCGCGGTGCGCCGCGGTGGGTCGGACATGACGTCACGGCCCTCCGTTCGACTCCCACGGTGCACCGCCACGGCGCGGCGACAGCGCAGGTCGGAACCAGGCTGCAGGACGACGACGACGCCGTCCCGGCACTCATCAGCACCTCGTTTGCGGCCAGGGTAATCGCAGTGGCGTGGCGCGCCGTGCGGCAGCCTGGTTTGGTTGTGGCGCCTCGACCTCCCAGCGCGGCCCGCCCCGTCCCGCCCCGCCTTGTGCGAGTGCGACAAGGAGCCCGCCGTTTAGAGCGTTTTGTGCGGCTCAGCTTAATCGCGTGAAACGGCGCCAGACCGCACTGCTTTTCGCGCGGCCGTGTGGCGGTTGGTGGGTTGGTGGTGCTTCCCGTGCAGGTTTCCGCTGCGAACCGCGGCAGCGTTTCGGTGGCTCCGCAGAGGGCCTGGAGGGCGTCGGGGTGGCGCCGTGCCGCCGCGCTGCCTCGGCCAAACGCCCGTCCACATGTTTGTGAACAGCCGGGCAGGGCAGGGCCGAGGCGGCAGGGCCGAGGACAGGGCGACAGCGCCGGGAAATCCATGAAATGCTTACATATCCGGGGCAAGGCTGCGGCGCGCGGCACGCGGCAAGGCCTTATCTATCGGCCTGGACAGCCGAGCCTGATCGTGCTGTCATGTCATGTCATTGAGGCGCACGGCGGGGCGGCGGGGCGGGGCGGGGTGGCGGGGCGGGCGCGGCGGGCGGGCGGGGCGCGGCGGGGCGGGGCGGGCGGGGCGGGGCGGGGCGGGGCGGGGCGGGGCGCAGTGGCGCGCGATGTGATGATATGGCGATGAGCGGTTCCAGCGCTATGCACACCCACTGCACTGCAGAGCACTGCAGAGCAGCACTGTGTCAGTGTGTCACTGGGCGTACAGTGTGCGGTTGGCTCGACCTTCCCTTGCAGCGAGCACTGCGAGCACCGCGAGCGCAGCCAAAGGCCAAAAGCTGCACCGCCTGGGCTGGCGGCGCCGACGGGGTTCTCCTTGCTGTCGAATGCAGCGGCGCGGCCCGCGGTGTTCCCAAACCGTGTGAGCGATTAAGAGGAGAGGCCGGCTCGGTGCTCAGGGCGGCCAAAGTGGCATCAAGGTGCGCCAGTCGAGGTGACCCGACTCGACCCGTCGCCGCAGCAGTCTCTCTATCGCGCCACTACGGAACGCCCCTTGAGTGCGAGAGAGGCAGAGCCCTGTTCAGAACGGGCCTGCTGGGCTGGCTGTTGCACCCTGTTGCATAGCGCGACTGCCACCGGCCCCGCCGCCACTGCCCCGCGGCGCCCCGCAGCCTCGCGGGCCGCCGCCGGAAACCTGTTGCACTGCACCTCGAGGCCCGCGAGGCTGCGGGGCGCGATGAGCCATGTGGCGCGGCAAGACCGGACCCAGCAAGACGCCGAGGCATGGCGCAGAGGCGCCGGCAAAGGCAAAGGTCGCCCCGCCAGGCCGCCTCGCCAAGCCGCCACACTAGACTAGGCAACGGCCGCCCCGCCCCGCCCCGCCCCGCCCCGCCCGCGCTGACTCAACCGTTAATTTATGCCACCTTTTTGCGGCCCGGTGGCGACTCCAGGCCCATCCCATTAACGCACGCTTGATTGGGCAAGTCGCCGTCTCCCTCGCACCCCCACGGGGCCGACGCGGGGCCCCCGCGAGTGCGAGAGAGACGCAGCACTGCTTGGAATCGGCTCGAAGGGCAGCGACAAGCGAATCGGCGACGACGGCGGCCCTTGGCCGGTTAGATTTCCCAAACGGCGCGACGATTGTCATTGCCTGCTGCAGTCGCCGGCCTGCCCCGCCGGCCCCGCGCTGCCCGTCGGCCGCCGTCCGCTCACACTGGCCGTGGAAAATCAGTAAGCCTCTCTCTCTCCCTGTGTCTCCCTCTCTGTCGCCGCGCCGTGTTTTTCTTCCGGCCGTTCGAAGCGAAGCGCCTTCGCAGCTGGCCGGCGAGGGAAAAAGAGATCGGGTCCCGGGCCGCTGCCGCGCCGCCTAGCCGCGGCCCGGCCGCCCTGCGACACTTTGGCACGCCGTCGTCGCGGAGGGGGATTCGAACCCGCGGCCGTGGGGCGGTTCTCGTGAAGCGGGCCGCGGAGACTCAGGGGTTGCAGCACAATGAACCAGAGGCGGCAATCGGCAGGCACTGTCGCCCCTCGCGGCACGCCATACGCCGCGCCAGGACACCTGTTTACGGAGTGAAAATTTGACTTTGGAAACAAATATCCCAGCTCATTAAAAAGTTGTTACAGTTTGAGGTGCGGTCCGGCACAGCGTCCGTAGTGCATCCTCGGCCGGGTCGGCCTGCTTGATGTGCTGCAGGCACGCAGCCCGCTGCTTTGGGCCGCGTCGCCGCGCTGGCCGTTCGCCGTCCTCGTCGCCGCGCCGGCCCGATGAATGGGAGCGAGAGAGACGGAGGATGCTTCGGCCGGGGCGCCGCGCAGGGCGCAGGGCTGCGTGTGTGCGAATGGTGATGTGCTCCCTGTGCGTGCGGAGCAGTGCGGAGCGTGCTCGCGGCCCGCCGCGCGCGCTGCGCTCCAAGGTGAAGGGGAGCTCTTCGTGCTCACGGCGGCACCGCGGCGTCGTCAGAGGGTAGAAAGTGAGAGGACAGGCCGCCGGGCTCGGCGTCTTGGCTGTGTCCATCACGGGCTGACGGCGCCCCCTCCGTCGTCCTGGCGATCCGGGCACCGCCCACGGCCAAGGGCACGCCGCCAAAGTGGCATGAGTGCGAGGGTGTCTCTGCACCGACACACTGTGGAGAAAGTCGCGAATCCAACAAAGTGTGTCGCCCGAATGGAGTCCATCACACGAGGTTTTGTGTTGAGGATCATTTTGTGACGAAGCTGCTTGCCTGAAGGTGTCTGGACTAGACGGCACTAGACGGCACCGTAGAGATCGACTAGCCTTCCCTACACTCTAAGTCAGGAGAGTTCGGTCGAACGATGAAGTCAAGCCAAACGACGATTTCTACGCATTTGTTACCGTTACAGTAAACTTTGATGCAATACCGCTCCCAAACTAAGGCGGATAATCGCACTCCGTAACAAAGGTGTTCTAAAGGAAGGCCCAAAGAGTACCCACCCGTTGAGGGAGAACGATTAGCCACCCTACCGGCTCTTACAACCCTAATCAGGCTTGACCAGAACTCCTTTTTATTGGCATTTCATATCTTACTCTTAAACCAGTTTTTTTCTTTTTGCAGTTTATTTCTGTGGCCACATTAAAAGGGTCAGTTAGCCACATCACACGCTGCCACACACACGCATGCACACACCAACAGGTGGATCCAATGCCACGGCGCGGTCGCCACTGCGTTGCCCCCGTGCCCCAGTCAAGCTCCGCGTGGCTCCGCGCCGCGATGAGGAATGGAAAAAGGGGGGGGGGGGGCAGGAGGTTCTCTCCCCGCCCCGCCCCTCTCAATGATGGACGCGGCTCGATCTGCTGATGGTTCGGGTTGGAGCATCTCTGCGGCCTCCGGCTGGCTGCCAGGAGGGCGAGTCCGAACAGCTCTTGGTCGCTCCTTGGAAGGCCCCACGAGTGCGAGAGAGACGGCGGCCTGGCCGTGCGGTCCGTGCGGTCGGCCTGTGACCGCGTGACGCGCGGTGGCGTGACGTTGCGTCGCATCGCCCGACAACTACCTCCCTCCAGTGCCTCCCAAACGACGTGCACCGAACGCTTTGCCGTTGGAATTGGAAGGGCGGTCCGTTGGCGCCGTCATCAAGTTAGTTTGATTTCATTCCGTGGCGGGCGAGACGCGCCCGAAGTTGTGTTCTGGAGCACGGGGCGATGCGGCCATGCGCACAGTGGGCCAGAAGACCGTTGGAGGCGGCCAGAACTCTCGACGCGTTTTGAGCTCCAGAGTCGCTACATGGGGCTTGAACCGAGCGTGTGACCCCACGAATGGATTGCTCTCCGAACGAGGAATCCATTGGTGGGGTCACACGTTCGGTTCCAGGCCTGTTTAGCGATCTGGAGCTCGAAACGCGTCGAGAGTTTTGGCCGCCTCCAACGGTCTTCTGGCCCACTGTGATGCGTCCGCGGCGGAACGAGCCGAGCCGGCCTGTCTGTCTGCGAATCGGCCGAATCCGAATCGGCTCGGCGCTCTTTGGGAGGGGAGAGGCGCGGCTTAATGAGTTGTGAAATGCGTGGCTCACGACCCCGCCGCCCTGCCCGGTGCAGTGGCACGGCAGTGGCACGGTGCCTCCGCCCGCCTCCTGATGGCAAATGTTTTTCTCCTTTTCCGCCGCCGCTTTCGACACGTGATCGACCCGTCCGCAGTCAGTGTGCTGGATGTTCGGAGGCTGCTTCTG